CTCCACAGCTGCGGTTTCGCTTACGATAGAGGGTCTCTCCTGTGGTATTGGCCACGGGGCTGCAGACAGCAGCTGAATCAGATCTGGGAACCTAGTTTGTTTTTTCCAGAGTGGGGCCACTAGGAGGAATGAGCATTAATTAATGTATATAGAAGTTTCATAACTGAAAACGCTCGCTCTGTTCTGCGCCAGTGGACAGGCACTATTGGCCACCATTTCATTCCTGTCTGTAATGCAGCTCACCTTCACCGAATATGTTGATGACAAGGGTTGGTGTTTCTTGCGCAGGTCTGTTTTTAACATGCCTTGACTGTTGCACAGTCTGACATTAATGGCCGCTGAGATCCTAGTGTGACATGAGGATCATGTTCTTGCAGTCTGACAAGCAACGATCGTAAAGGGACTATTATAAATTGCAGTGTTCACCCAGCTTTAGGATGTCCATCCCAATGTTACTAGATTACGGCAGTTTGGATCCTGCCTCACTTGTGGAGACTTCAGATGATGCCAATATTTTCAGACTTCAGATGACCGCAACTATAGAAATACATACAAAACTGCCAGATATTATGTATTGTAATCATTGCCTTAAAGCGTAAGTTTGGTTATTTTCAACCCGCTTTGTATCGCTAGATTCGCTACTATGATGATGATGATATATGTGAACAATGTTTACTCTTTCTCTGAGTTACTTGTACTGAGATATGCCCATTTATTTGTCAGCAAAATTCTGCCAGCTGATGCAAAACTGCAAATGTTTTTTTTTCTGTTTAACAAAAAAAAAATTTTTTTTTAAATCTTACCGCTGGGCACTTTGTTGCCAGAAGATGCACCCCAGTGAGTCACAATCACCTCTGCATGTTTAAAGGATATTTTGTGATTTGTAACCTTGAAACATGCATTTTCTGTAAACCTGCTTTGAAATATGTATTGTGAAAAGCGCTGTACCCTTACAACAGTTAACCATGGTTTTACTATGTAAAACTATAATCATGACCGTAGTAATCATGTTTTTTTTCCAAACCACGGTTTTGTTATCATGGTTCTATTAGAGTAATAGGCCTATTATATAAATGCTGGAGAAAAACTGTGGTAACCATTGTTTTTGAAACCATTTTGTAGTTACTATGGTTTACTATGATGTAGTAAGACCAGGGTTATATATTTACTGTGGATTACTGCAACAATCATAGTTAAACCATGGTTATTGTAGTAAAGCGCAAACGTTTTGCGAGAGAACACAAGATTTGAAAAATAATAATAATCCTCCCACCACCGTATTCTTTATTTTTTTCCACCACCACGGCACTTTATGGGCTTCGTAGAAATGTACGTCTCACATGTGGAATTATTAAATAATAACCCCAACCCCATCTTACCCCAAGGGTCTAATTGTATCTTTTCACTTCAAAATAAATATTTTTTTACTCGACAAATCTAAAAACATTAATGTGTCCATAAATCTTTCATTAGACACAAACTTAATATTCAACATAAAATCACTAATTTTCCAGAGAAAATTACTATCACTATTTTCCAGAGATCACTTATCCTCAAAACTGTTTTGATTGACAATCTTACAAAAGTTGACTTTCAGATGAAAAACTAAATAAAATAAAATGAGCCATTCACGTGTTAAGATTCTGTGCCATTTATGGTAAAGAAATCAAATAAAAAAAGCTACAGGGGGTCCTCTTGCCCCATCTCATCCTATGTTACAGAGAAAACAGCAAACACTCATCCAAAATCCCAAAGTCAATGGATTTATTTCCGTTGCACTGAAGTTGTTCACAGTATAGTTACAAGGGGATACATTAGCGGCAATTCTATTTTTTCCCGCTCGGTATTAATCAAATTCGTGATGCATTACAATCCAGCTTTGCTCCTTTTTTCTCCCGAAGTACAAAATAGGAAGGACAATAATGTGTATTGCTTAGATTACATCTCCGCTTATTCTCCACGCTGTATGTTCCCATAAGTGATCACGTGTTATGAAATCCAAGACCATGATGCAGCAGAGCATGTGGCCAGATAGCGTTCAGCGTTAAGGGAGATGAGAGAAAAACGACCAACTGAAAATGAAGGCATGATAACGGGGGAAACAAGTCGATGATGGAAAAAGGGTGAAGGGGAGGAGAAATTTAACATCCACAACATCATGCAAATTAAAGCTGAATGTTGGACATGCTATACGAGAGAGAGAGAGTCAGGAGCAGCAGGATCCCCTTGATGGTTTTAAGAAAGTCTTTGTCCAAAGTTATCTATTTACAACATGTGATTTTGAGCTCATCCACCTGTTTTACACGCACAATGAGATGAGTGACAAGTATCAATACTTCATTATCCCTCAGGCCTGATCTAGCATTCTGAGTTCCTCCATTGATACTAAATGTCAAAAATACCAGTAGTCTAGACATTATACAACTGTTGGCTCTGGGGTACCAATACAAGGAATTACTTAGTAAGCTGAAACTGTCAGTGTAGATGTTTGAGCTAAGGTGCTCTCTTTAGTTAATGGGCTTTTAAACTCTTGATTCATTACGTACTCAATAACAGCAGCAAAGACAAAAGCCTTTACTGCAGAAATAAAGATCTAAAAGTGAACAGAGGGAAACAAGATCATCAGTTTTCTGAGCATCACTCATGATGTTTACGTTCCCTAAAATCATCAGTTTTGACCTAAGATTATCATAATCAGAAAGGCTAATTCTAGACAGATTTTGCTGCTGCTTCATGAAAATGCAAGTTATGTAAAAAAAATTGCTTAATCCAAATGAATGAATACCATGGAAAAGCCCATTACCCAAGTTAGCATTAGCCTGCAGTACAAGACTTACTGCATTTCACCATGTTGCTAGTCACACAGTCACAGGCTAGCAATTGTGGCAGAATTAACCATGCTATTAATCCGTACTTTAATTCTCTTTCCTCAAGCCCCCCCCCCCCCCCCCCCCCCCCCCCCCCCCACCACCCTAAAGAGACTAGTCTACATTCTTAAATTACCAGTAAATAATTTAACATACTACAAGCTCTTTAATCTGTTCAAAGCCAGGAAAGAAAGAGTGCTTCATTCACAAAATCGGATAAGTGTTATCATACACAAAATCCTTCAAACAATCTGACAAGTCGCCCTGATGCACACAATAAAATCTCCACCATTTTGTATATATAAATATTCCCCAGCTGAATAAATAAAAAAGACAAACACATAAATAAGTTACAAAAAAGGGTAAAAGGTCCTCTGAATCCTGCAGATGTTTCTCAAAAAGTAAACACAAAATAAATACAAATTGAAAATTGACATCACGAGCAATCCTCGAATACATTAAGCATAATCATCATTCAAAACTAACATTTCATGAACGCTACATGAAAAGAAAAAAAAAACAGGATGTGGCAAAACAATTCATCTAAGCATTGTCACTGATAGACATTTGTTACATAAGGAATATTTTCAGTCTGTACAACAGAATAGGTCATTTACTGTGACGCCCCCCTCCCACCCCCGTATCCCAGTCCACAGCCCACCCCAAAGTTCATCCCCACCATTTTTCAAATAGGATCTCCAAATCTTGTACAGCAATGATACAGAGTCCATAAAATGTTTTAAATTCTTCATTTCACAAAGAAAGACTATATTGAAAAGAATACAATCCAACCACGGTCCTCGAGGGCAACTCCTCAAACACGTGCGTTATGATATCCAAAGCTCCACTCGCCATTTGTAATGATGTCCGGTATGTACGTTTGTGTGTGTGTGCATCAGCAGAGAGGGGAGGAAAGAAGACGAGCAAGGATTAAAAAAAAATATATATATGTTTAAATAAAAATATGAATTGTGGGTTAGCTTAGAGAGAATTCATAAACATCTTTATTTTAAGGCTTCACTCCAAATCCTCGGACATGTGGCTGTATGTACAGTAGCTGCAGGAGGAAGGAGTTGAGGAATCTTGTTGGTGTTTGGGGTGTTTAGATGCATCAGAATGAGGAGTTTCCCTCAGCTGCTTGTACTGAACTTCCTGTGTAATGTGCCCTCCATCAATGTGCCATACATGAATCTTGTGCAAGAGCAGGACTTGGGGCTTTAACACGTTTTCTGGATAATTCCTGGTAGCAGAAATAAATAAAGGCATCATAAAACAGAACATAACGATACACCGTGAAGAACAAACAACACTGGAGAGAAACAAAATAGGCATGTGTCTCTGTATGCGCCTTTTGTGAAGTGTCGGGTGTACTTCAATATTCAATCCATAATATAAAACTTTGTAGAAGCTTGGTTAAAACCAACTTGAGTCAAAAACATCCTTTCACCATGACTGGATTCTTATATTTTATTTTAAAACTAGTAATCTAGTATTTCTCCGAGTGACAAATATCAATATTTCATTATCTCTCACCCCCCACCCTAAAGAGGCTAGTCTACATTCTTAAATTACAAGTAAATAATTTAACATATACTACAAGCTCTTTAATCTGGCCAAAGCCGGGAAAGAAAGAGTGCTTCATTCACAAAATCGGACAAGTGTTATCGTAGCCTACACAAAACACAAGATCCTTCAAACAATCTGATGAGTCGCCCTGATGCAAACAATAAAATCTCCACCACCCGGTTTTGTATATATAAATATTCCCCAGCTGAATAAATTAAAAAAAGACAAACATATATAAGTTACAAAAAAAGGGTAAAAGGTCTCTGAATCCTGCAGATGTTTCTCAATAAAAATTAAACACGAAATAAATACAAATTGAAAACTGACATCATGAGTAACCCTCGAATACATTAAGCATAATTGTCATTTAAAACTAACATTTCATGAACACTACATGAGAAGAAAAAAAGCAGGATGTGGCAACACAATTCATCTAAGCAATGTCACTGATAGACATTTGTTACATAAGGAATATTTTCAGTCTGTACAACAGAATAGATCATTTACTGTGACGCCCCCCTCCCCCTCCCACCCCCGTGTCCCAGTCCACGACCCGCCCCAAAAGTTCATCCCCACCATTTTTCAAATAGGATCTCCAAATCTTGTACAGCAATGATACAGAGTCCATAAAATGTTTTAAATTCTTCATTTCACAAAGAAAGACTATATTGAAAAGAATACAATCCAACCACGGTCCTCGAGGGCAACTCCTCAAACACGTGCGTTATGATATCCAAAGCTCCACTCGCCATTTGTAATGATGTCCGGTATGTACGTTTGTGTGTGTGTGCATCAGCAGAGAGGGGAGGAAAGAAGACGAGCAAGGATTAAAAAAAAATATATATATGTTTAAATAAAAATATGAATTGTGGGTTAGCTTAGAGAGAATTCATAAACATCTTTATTTTAAGGCTTCACTCCAAATCCTTGGACATGTGTGGCTGTATGTACAGTAGCTGCAGGAGGAAGGAGTTGAGGAATCTTGTTGGTGTTTGGGGTGTTTAGATGCATCAGAATGAGGAGTTTCCCTCAGCTGCTTGTACTGAACTTCCTGTGTAATGTGCCCTCCATCAATGTGCCATACATGAATCTTGTGCAAGAGCAGGACTTGGGGCTTTAACACGTTTTCTGGATAATTCCTGGTAGCAGAAATAAATAAAGGCATCATAAAACAGAACATAACGATACACCGTGAAGAACAAACAACACTGGAGAGAAACAAAATAGGCATGTGTCTCTGTATGCGCCTTTTGTGAAGTGTCGGGTGTACTTCAATATTCAATCCATAATATAAAACTTTGTAGAAGCTTGGTTAAAACCAACTTGAGTCAAAAACATCCTTTCACCATGACTGGATTCTTATATTTTATTTTAAAACTAGTAATCTAGTATTTCTCCTGGTTTTAAGGTTGTTCCTGTGTCCCAACTGATGGTGCCATCTTGGCTTTGTCTTGGCCAGATGGACATTTGGAGTCATTAGGCTCAGGCTCATGTCTCTTGCTGTTGGCATGCTTGGGCGTGCCGGGCGGATGGGACACCTGCCCGTTCTTCTCGTCTGAAAAGAGCTGTTTAATTACGTCAAAGAAGTTACTCAATGGGCTGCCTGGGTGCACAGACGGGAAAAGAGGAGAAGAACAAGAAAACAAGAGAGAGACAGAGAACAAATACATGAACAATGAGGATCACAGATGAGGCAAGGTGAGATGATGAGAGGCAGGATGAGACCGCATTAACTGGAGACAATAAGCCATGTATCGGAACACACTGACACGGATACAGCACACATCTGCAGGCATGTTCAACTGTTTGATCATACAGCTGTATAATTGTTCAAAGGTCTTATTGTGGTAGTGAGTATCTGTGGCTGAACAGTCTCCATCTGAGCTGTGATCATCACTGAATGGAATGGAAAGAGATGTGACGGTGTTGATTCATTACAAAGAAAATCAAGGTAGATGGTCAAAGACTTGTTCTTAATTAGACATCATACCTCAAATTCAGGATATATATCCCAAATTGTGTGCATATACATGAAGGATTTAGCAAATACTGTAAGCTATATATACATTAGGGGTGTAAAAATGCATTGGTACACCTGACAATGAAAATTGTCTGATTGATTCACTTAAAAAATCTGGTTCTTAAGAAACTATTGTATGCGAATTGGACTACTCCGGTAATGCTGTTTTTTTTTTTTTTATTCAGTTAAAAGAACCGAACCGGCACATGAATCAGCCTATACTGGTCATGTATTATACTTGTATTTTTTTGTCTTTTTTTTATGAACAAACTCTTTTTTTCCCCCCCATGTTTTTGGACTACGTTGCTCATGCTGTATGTTTTTATTCACTTGAAAGAACAGGTTCAGAGGAAACATTTGTTGGCGAATCTGACTTCTCTGGTCATGCTTTATTATTTTGATTCACTTACAAGAATCAGATTATAAGCTTCATTAATTTGTGAATCAGACTATACTGGTTGGATTGTATTATTTTTTTATTTTTTTGAACAACTTAAAAGAACCAGTTCATAAGAATCATTTGTTCACAAATTGGACTACACTGGTCATGCTGTATGTTTTTGACTCACTCAAAAGAATCTGTTCGTGAGAAGCATTAGTTTGTAAATCTAACAACACTAGTCACGATATGTTTTTTACTCTCTTAAAAGAACTAGATCATAATAGTTATTTGTTCAGGAATCAGACTACACTGTGTTTTTAAATCACTTAAAGGGATAGTTCACCCAAAAAATGAAAATTCTGACATTAATTACTCTCCCTCATGTCGTTCCAAACCTGTAAGACCTTCGTTCATCTTTGGAACACAAATTAAGATATGTTTTGATGAAATCGGAGAGCTTTCTGACCCTCCATAGACCGCAAGGGAACTACCACATTCAAGGCCCAGAAAGGTACCAAGAACATCGACAAAATAGTGCATGCGACATCAGTGATTCAAACTTAATTTCATGAAGCAATGATAATACTTTTTGTGCGCAAAAAAACTCCCAAAAATAACAAATTTATTCAACAATTATTCTCTCCCGAGTTACCATCTACCACCATTATCGAGAGTAACACAACGCATGGGTCGTGTTACGCTCAATGGTGGTAGATGGTAACTCGGGGAAGAATACATGTTAAATAAAGTCGTTATTTTTGTTTTCTTTGCGCACAAAATATTCTCGTAGCTTTGTAAAATTACAGTTGAACCACTGATGTCTAGTGATGGGAGAAACTAACCTTTTCGAAGCTTCGAACCAACTGCTTCGAAGCGCTCGAAACACCACACACTGCTGCTGGTCAAAACTGTTAATGCAACAAAATCTCAGGCCAAAACATGCATAAAAAATACATTTTACAAAAACATACTGAAAGTATAATGCATTAAATGCAATTACAATAATATACCATTAAATATGTGTATAATGTTTTTAAATTATTATTATTAATTTGCAGGGCTTGTTTTGTCTGTTTTATGGAGAGCTTGTTAACTACTTCTCATCATTTTAATTACACAAATGTTTCGTTAAAATGTCTACAAATTGATAAAACTGATCCGAGATCAGGTAGAAGTCAAAGACGCTGATTCAATGGTTCGCCGCTGGGAGGATCTCAATGAACTCGCATGATTCATGGGTTCACACAGATCGCCCCCCCAAAGGCAAGGCAAGCATCAAGATTTCTCTTTTTCAGAAGGGGTTTAACAACTGCAGTTTTCAGGGAGTTTGGAAAAGTCCCAGAAAGAAGTGAGGCGTTCACCACTTCTAAGAGATCTGCTTCCAAACAGTTAAGCACCCTTTTGAAAAAATATGTGGGAAGTGTGTCAAGATAGCAGGTTGACGATTTAAGGTGCTGTACTATTTCTTCCAAATATTTGGAAGAAATAAGGCAAAGGCAAACCATTGAAATTTCAAAAAGTTTAGAAACAGTTATGACGTAACGAAGCCTCATTTAGTGAAATCACTTGACTTCGGCAGTTTGATACGCGCTCCGAACCACTGTTTCGAAACAAATGATTCACAAAGGTTTCGAAGCTTCATGAAGCAGTGTTTCAAAAGCGGCCATCATTACTGATGTCACATTGACCATTTTAATGATGTTCTTACTACGTTTCAGTGCCCTGACCGTGGTAGGACCCTTGCTGTCTATGGAGGGTCAGAAAGCTCTTGGATTTCATCAAAAAAATATCTTAATTTGTGTTCCGAAGAAGAACGAAGATCTTATGGGTTTGGAACGACATGAGGGTGAATAATTAATGACAGAATTTTCATTTTTGGGTGAATTATCCCTTTAAAAGAACAGGTTCATAAGAATAATTTATTTATAAATCAGATGACACTGGTCACGCTGTATGTTTCTGATTCACTTTAAAGAACTGGTTCATGAAAATCATTCGTTCATCAGATCAAACTACAAGCTGTATGTTTTTCATTCATTTGAAAGAACAGGTTTAATTATTTGTTTGCCAATCTGACTACACTGGTGGTGCTGTATGTTTTTGACTCACTTAAAATAACAGGTTTATAATAGCCATTTGTTCAGAAATCATTTTGCGCCATATGTTAGACCCTATTAATGTTGCTAAAAAAAGGAAATTAATGCAATCATGAACAAATGTACAAAAATACATGATGTATTGCATGATTTAGTAATGAATCATAATTATATACAATCAGTGTCAGTGCATATATTTACACCCTGATATATATATATATATTCATCATTTCTGATTCAAATCAAAGGCCAAAAATGAAATCTCATAAATGGATTGAAATTTAGTGGTACAAATTGTTGCAGATTCTGAATACGACAGCCGGCCCAGAAGGATTAACTACACGCCATATTTGACACCAACACAGGCTTGCAAACCATCACCTCTTTTTCCAGTTTCATAAGTGACTGAGCAGCAGCGGCCTGATAGGCCACGGCCTG